AGAAATTAGGCTGTTCAGCAGTTTTACATCTTCTTGACCCAGCTTTGGTACTTCATATGTTTCTAGGAAGCTATTTCTTCTGTGTTATCAATCCTATGAGAGTAGAGAATTTTGAAATAGAGGTTAATGATCTTCTGTATTTCCACAGAGTCTGTAGTGATTTTGCCTTTTTCATTCCTTATTGTATGAATTTGAGCTGTTTCCTCTTTTTAATAAGGTTGGCTAGGGGCTTATCAATTTTATTTATTCTTTCAAGGAACCAACTCTTTGATTCATTGATTTTTTGGATTGTTTTCTTAGTCTCTATTTTATTAATTTCTGTTCTGATTTTTATAATTTCCTCCCTTCTTTTGGCTTTGGGCTTGACTTGCTCTTCTTTTTCTAGATGTTTGAGGTGTAGCAACAGGTTGTTTATTTGTATTCATTCTGTTTTCCTGATGTGGGAACCCAGTGCAATGAATTTTCCTCTGAGGACTGCTTTCATTGCATCCCACAGATTCCAGTAAGTTGTACTTGTATTTTTGTTTCCTTGTAGGTATTGTTTAATTTCTTCCTTAATTTCCCCTTTCACCCACTGATTGCTCAAGAATGTATTGTTCAATTTCCATGTGTTTGTGGGGTTTCTGTAGTTTCTTTTATCATTAATTTCTAGTTTCATGGCACTAAGATCTTATAACATGCATGGGATAATTTCAATTCTTTTGCATTGATTTAAATATGTTCTGTGAGCTAGTATATGGTCTAATTTAGAGAATGTCCCATGTGCTGCTGAGAAGAATATATATTCTGATGTTGTTGGATGGAACACTCTGTATATGTCTACCAAGTCCATTTGTTCACAGGCTGTTCACAGAAATCATAGCTGATAATTTCCCAAACATGAGAATTGAAACTAACATTAGGATTAGCAAAGCATAAAAAACTCCAAATAGCCATAACCAAAATAAAACTAAACCCAGGCATATCATAATCACCATCCCAGAAATCCAACATAAAAATAGAATACTAAAAGCTGTCAGAGAAAAGACAGGTCACCTATAAAGAAAAGCCTATCAGAATTACAGCAGACTTCTCAATACAAAAAATGAACTCAAGAAGAGCATGGAGTGAAGTATTTCAGATCCTAAAGGAAAATGATTTCCAGCCTAGACTGATGTACCCAGAAAAACTGTCCTTCAAAATGGATGGAGAAATAAGATTCTTCCATGACAAAGAACAACTGAAGAATTTCATCAACACCAAGCAACCCTCCGAAGAAGAAAGACAGTCTAGATACACATAGGAAAAAAAAACCACTAAGCAAGGTAGACAACTAAACAGATTGAAAAGATGAAGATGCAACAGAAGAAAGATAATATGTTAACAATAAGCCAATGTATAACAGTTATAACCATCAATGTAAATTGTCTCAATTCACCAACTAAATGAAACAGATTGGCAGAATGGGTCAAGAAACAACATCCAACCATATGCTGTCTGCAAGAAACTCATCTAACCCAAAAGGAAACTCGTAGACTGAAAGTCAAAGAATGGAAAACAATACTTCATGCTGTAGGAACTGAAAAAAAAGTGAGAGTAACTATTTTGTTTGCAGATAATGTGAACTTCAAACCAAGAATGATCCTAAGAGATAAAGAAGGTCACTACATACTGGTTAGGGGAAAACTTAAAGAGGAAGAGATGACTATCTTAAATATATATGCACCAAATTCCAGAGCACCCAGCTATATAAAGCAAGTATTAATAGAAATGAAAAATCAAATTAGCAATAACACAATTATAACAGGATAACTTAACACACTGTTGACACCAAGGGACAGATCAACCAGACAGAAAATCAGCAAAGAAATAACAGAACTGAATCACATCTGTGCATAAGACCTTTTATAATGTCATCCCAAAAAAATGGAATACCTTGGGATCAATGTAACATAGGAAGTAAAAGATCTATACATTGAAAAGTACAGGAGAGAAAAGAGATATCAGAAAATCGAAAGTTTTCCCTTTTTCTTGGGTATGAAGAACCAATATATTAAAAATGGCCACACTCCCAAAAGTGTTTACAGATTTAATGCAATTTCGATGAAAATACCAATAGCATATCTCACAGAATTTGAGGGAAAAAAGTCCTAAAATTCATTTGGATCCAGAAGAGATCTAGAATAGTAAAAGCAATCCTGGGAACAAAGACAAGGCAGAGAACATCATAATCCCTGACTTGAAATTATATTGCAAAGCTAGTGTAACCAAAGTATAATGATACTGCCAAAAAAATAGACCTGAGGATCAGTGGAACAGATTAGAAGGTGCAGAAAGAACTCTAAACATAGCCACTTTATATTTGAAAGAGGGTCCAAATACCTTCACTGAAAGAAAAATAGCCTGTTTAATAAATGGTTCTGGGAAAAATGTTTTTCCACATGCCTCAGCTAATGTTATATCCATATCTCTAACCTAAAGTTGAAATGGATCACATATCTAAATACTAAAGCAGAAACACTAAACCTGCTGGAAGATACAGTAGATAAAACTGTTGAAGACACAGGCGAAGCAAAGACTTTATGGACAAAACCCCAGTCACACAGGAAATATCAAAAAGAATCAAATGGGATCTCATCTTATTAAAGAGTTTTTGTGTAGCAAAAGGAATCACCAACAGAGTGATGAGACAACACTTAGGATGGGAAAATTTTATTGCAAGCTGTTCCTCAGCCTAAGGAGTAATATTGAGAATATGTAAAGAACTCAAATTTAAAGACCCAATCCTAAAATGAGCATCTTAAATGAATGTACACTTCTTAGATGAAGAAATAAAAACAGCAAATAAATACATGGAAAAATGATTGACGGCACTGGTCACTCTAGAGATACAAATTAAAATAACACTGAGTTTCAGTCTCACTCCAGGACAAATGAGTCTTATCAAGATATCAACCAATAACAAATGCTGGTGGGGCTGTTTCGAGAAAAGAATGCTTGTCTACTGTTGACGGGAGTGTAGACTGGTGCTACCACTGTGGAAATCAGTGTGGAGATTCTTCAAAAATCTAGCAGTAGAGTTTCCATTTGACCCAACTATTCCCCTTCTTGGTATCATTTCAAAAGAGTTAAAAGCCTACTCATGTTTATGGCAGCACAGTTTATAATAGCTAAGTTTTGCAAAGAGTCCAAGCGCCCATAAACTGTTATTTGATAAAGAAAATGTGAGGTTTTTTTATACAATGAAATACTACTCTGCCATAAAGAAATATAATCTTGAGACATTTCTAGCTAAATGGATGCACTCTTAGACCATAATCTTAAATGAATAGATTGGGCACGTGTATATATTGCATGATTTTTGTTGTGTGAGAGTAATCAAAATCATCAATAAGGACCAGAATGTGTAATAGATATTGGAAAGTGAAAAAAAAAAACACATGTTCAAATGAGGAGGACCAGGGAGAGGGGACGGAGAAATGAAGGAAGTGACAAGAAAAAAATAATTAAGGAAAAATTAGAAACAAAGCTTTTGTAAATAAGGAAAGGAATGGAAAAAAAGAAGCAACAAGATGTATCTATCATATACAGGTACAGATTCCCTATGATGAATGTTATTATTATGTATATCAAAAATGTACCCATATAAAAATAAGCAAAAATCAGCACTGAATTGTAAAGATGAATTAAATGTGGAGAAGATGAAATAAACAATTCTGTGATGGGGCTGGGGATTTAGCTCAGCAGCATAAGCGCCTGCCTTGCAAGCAGGCAGTCGTGAGTTCGATCCCCGGTACTGATAAAAAGGAAAAAGACAAAAAAAAATTCTGTGCTAAGGGTAAAAAAGACCACCTCTTGCTTAAATGGTGAGTTTCAGATAGTACACAAATCCAGGAGTTATAGATGTTCCTTGTCTTGTGGGCATTTAAGGAGTTAAGCACAGGACTTCATTGACACAATGAAATTTTTCTTCTCTGTATCAGTCTTTTTCTTCCTTCCATTTCTGTACTCTCATTTTCTAGAGCAGTAAAGCATATTCATTCAGTTCGTAAACAGTGCATTCAAATAATCATCAGTGAGTGTTTATTTAATTAGATTTTCTGTCATGGAATATGTTCTTATAACATCCATCCATCCCCCAAGCCAAAATTCTAAGTCTTAGATTCTTCCCTTTACTCCCTTTACATGCAAACCTATGCAAAGGCCAGGGATATAGCTCAGTGATAGAGCACTTGGTTAGCACATATTACACCCTGGGTTTCTTTCTCCAGTATCACAAATAACAATTATATGGCCAAGTTATATGGATTTATCTTCTTTACAGCTCTTGTCTTTGTGTTCTGGCCTGTTCTGTACCCTTATTGAATGCTTTCGTTCAGTTCATGTTTGATTACAGATACAGTCACCTCCTAACTGGTATCCATGTTAGTTGTCTTTTCTCTCCTGCCCAGTCAATATCCCTCTCCTGCTGACAATGTTTAGATGTCTTCCTACAGTTTGAGGATACAGGTCTAAACTCCATAATCCTGCTTAGAGACCCTCTATGATCTGACCTACTTTCTGATCTTTCCTGTGGTCACTGCAAACATGTTTAACTACAGCAAGACTGAAATGTGTGTCATGCCGTATTACCCACCCTCCATGCATACTCCTCTCTCAGCCTAAAACATCCTTTCCCTACTCTATATCTCACTAAATTTTCAGATCTCTTGAAAGTCAGCTCATAGTCACTTTTTCAGGATGCCTTTCCTCATTCTTACAGTTGTAGGACTCTTCTGTATGCTACTAGCAATCCATGCATTCTTCTATCTTAGTACTTGATGCATTATCCTATCATTGCTGATTCACATACATGTCCTCCCTGCTACCCAGAGTGCAAGTAGTCAAAGGCAAGGATTCTTTTTCTTCATTCTTTTGGAATTGCCAAAACCTAACCTTGAGTCTATCCAGTGATAGGTTCTTAATAAATGTTTGTGATATGAATACATGAGACTTTGTGACATAATACTTTTACTTTCTAGGTACATGGTCCAGTGGCCTGGTGGCCGAATCCTGCATCGCCATGAACTAGACACCTTTCTTGCACAGGCAGTATCTACCCAGCTTTATGAACCAGATCAACTCCAAGAACTCAAGGTGATTTGGTCCACTCCTTTAAGTTCTTACTTTTATGAGCTTATAACTGTGCTTGAGGTCTTTCTTTCCTAGAACTGGGGAGAAAAAGTTCTACAGGTAAGTATTGAGTTTACTCTAGCCTAAACTTTGTCTATAAATAAAACCAGTTAGCAGGTAGAGTTACCTGCAATGCTGTCCCTGTATTAATGGATGAGAATGGACAGAAGAGATGAATATTGTACAAAACAAATAGATCATGACCATGATAAGGCTTCTGACTGTTATGTACTACAAGTGGATTGGGGATGTTGCTCAGTGGTAGAGAACTGAGTTCCATCCCCAAAACAATAGAGAGAGACACATACATACTTTACAGTGGTTTATACTGATGGCCCTGTTTGTCTCTGAGTAAATGTACAAACTTCCCTTGAGTAATATGCATTGAGCATTAGGGGGAATTATAGAAAAGTGTTAGGAAAAAATTAGTCTACTGTGGAACTAAAGGTGATAGAACATAGTAGTGTAGCATGGGCTCTGAAGCCAGGCTTTCTTGAATTTGGATCTTGGCTTTGTTATCTTCATTACATGATCTTGGGCAGGTTAATCTTTCTATCTTCAGTTTCTTTACTTGTGAAGATATTAAGTAAAACAATGCACATAAAGCAGCATAATCTCTGACATGTTTTTCTACTTTTTTATTAGCATATGATTGTGATATACAATATTTATGTATGTTTTGAGAAATTTATTCACCTATATAGTATCTTGATCATAAGTATATGCAGAATTACAACCGTGGTTAAATTCCTATCATCTTGTTTTAAAAGCCTATATTGTTATTGTTTTGGATTTTTTGTTGTTCCTGTAGTTGTTGCTTGTATATCTCTTGGTCATTGTTGTTCTTTTCTGTGTTTTTCTTCTCTTTAAAATTTAAAACATAAAATAAAATAAAACAATTGAAGAGCTTTAAAAAACCTTGATCGTTTTTATCTCCTTACCTCACCACCTCCTTCCTCCTTTTCCTCTAATACCCTTCCTCATCTCCAAACGTCTGCTTCCCTGTTTCTTAAACCTCCTCTCTGCTTTACTGTTTATTCATATTTTCAGTTTCTCATATAAGAGAAATCCTGTGATAGTTAATCATTAATATCTGACTTATTTCACTTAATATTATGGTCCCAACATTCATCTATTTTTCTACAAATGATAGGACTTCATTATTTTTGTATCTGAATAATAATATATTTCTTTATCAGCTTTTCTGTTGATGGACATCTAGGATACTTCTATAGTTTAGCTATTATAAATTGCACTGCTACAAACATGGGAGTACATGTATCAATGTAGAATGATGACTTTTTAATTGTTTTGGAAATTTAACCAAAAGAAGAAAAGCTGGTTCAAATAGAGTTTCTGTTTTTTGTTTTTTGAGGACGCTTCTTGCTGATTTCCATAGTGGTTGTACTAGTTTACATTCCCACCAACAATATAGGTTTCCACTTTCTTCACATTTTGCCAGCTTTTTTTTGTTTGTGGTTTCTTGTTTTCTTGATGATAGCCCTTTTGACTAGAATAAGATAGAGTATAAGTTGTTTTAATTTGCATTTATCTAAATGCCTAATGATGTTGAACATTTTTTCATGTATAGTATTTGTCCATTTAAACTTATTTTTTGAAGAAGAATCTTTTAATTCATCCCCCCCCCCCTTTTTTTTCTTTTTATCCGTACCGGCGATTGAACTCACGACTGCCTGCTTGCAAGGCAGGTGCTTATGCCACTGAGCTAAACTTCCAGCCCCTATGCCACTGAGCTAAACTTCCAGCCCCTCCCTCCCCCTTTTTTAACAGAGACTTACTGCTGGCTTTGAGTTCATGCTGGCTTTGAACTCACTATAGAAAACAGATTAGCCTAGAATTAATGGTGATCCTCCTGCCTCAGCCTACCAAGTACTGGGATAGCTCGTATTCATCACCATACCCAGTTACATTTTGCCCATGGTTTGATTGGGCCATTTATTTTGGGGAGAGTTTAATTTTTGAGTTATTTGTATTTTCTAATTACTCTCTCAGAACAGTAGCTGAAAAAATTTCTCCCTAGTTTGTATCTTATCTCTTCACTGTTTCCTTTGCCTTGCAAACACTTTTTAATATAATACAGTTTATTGATTGCTGATATTATTTCTTGGGCTGTTAGAGTTCTGTTCATGTCCTTATGGAGTGTTTTCCTTATGTTATTTTCCAGCAGTATAAGCCCTTTTATTTTTACATCTAGGCCTTTGATTCATTTTGATTGGATTATAACAGAGGGTGAAGTATGTGGGTCTAGATTTATTCTTCTGCACGTGGATAACCAGTTTTCCCAGCATCATTTCTCCAGCATGTTTTGGGTATTTTGTCAAAGATCAGATGTCTACAAATTCATGGGATTTTTTCTCTGTCTTCTGTTCTATGCCATTGGTCTTCGTGTTTTTATTTTTGTGTCAGTAGCATGCTGTTTTTTTTTTATTACTATAGCTTTGTACTATAACTTGAAATTTGGGATCATTATGCCTCCTGCTTTGTTCATTTTGCTCAGGATTTGTTTGGTTATTCTGGGTCTCTTCTAATTCCATATCAATTTTAAGATGATTTCTAGTTCTGTAAAGAATGTCATTGGTATATTGATAGGAATTGCATTGCATCTATAAATCTCTTTTGACTATATGGCAATATTCAAGATATAGATTCTACCTGTCCAAGAACAAGAGATATCTTTCCATTTTCTAAAATCCTCTTCAAAGTACTGAGTTTTCATCACAGAGAGCCTTCACCTCAACAGGTTGCTTCCTGGATATTTACTTTGAAGCTGTAATGGAAAGTTGTTTTCCTAATTTCTTTCACTGTGAATTCATTGTTGGTGTATAGGGACACTACTGATTTTTATGTAATGATTCTGTATTTTGCTTCTTTACTGAATTTGTTTGTTAGCACTAAAAGTCTCTGGTGGAATATTTTTTGGTCTTCTATGTAAAGGATCATGTCATCTGCAAATATAGTTTAACTTCTTCCTTGCATTTTATTTCTTTCTCTCGCCTAATCTGAATAAAGTTTGGAGTACCACAGAATCTGCCAAAAAATGTATACACACTTCAAGAAAAACTTGTATAAATATTTTAACACTAAATTTATTGAAATGTCATGAGATTAATACAAGTTACCTTTGGCGTCTACAATTACAAGAGATGTGCAAAGTGGTGACCATTAGCTTCCAGGCATTTATTAATATGGCAAACTGCTTTTTGGGTGACCTTGGTCATTGAGATTGCTACACATGCATTTTCAATTTTTTCGGTAAGGGCCGGCAGTGTACTGGGTTTTCTGCAATATATGACATCTTCTGGCATTCTCCATATGAGGGTAACACAACCTGTTGAGAAAAACATCATACTGTTTTCTTTTCCTGAAGTGTGTGTACAGTTTTTTGGCAGACTTTGTATATTGAAGAGTGGTGAAAGTGGGTATACTTGTCTTATTCCTGGTTTTAGGGAAAAAACTCAGTTTTTCCATTTAGGATGATGTTGGCTATAGTTGTATCTTAAATGGCTTTTATCAATTTGAAGGTAAGGTCCTTCTATACCTGTTTTTTTCGAGGTTTCATCATGAAGGGTTGTTGCATTAATTTCATTGCCTATTATTGGTCTATTTAGGGTTTTTATACCTTCTTGATTCAATTCAGTAAGTCATATGTGTCTAGGAATTTATCCATTTCTTCCACATTGGCTAATTTGTTGGATTATAGTTTTTCAAAATAGTTTCATGTAATCTTGTGGATTTCAGTGATTTCTATTATAATTAATTTTGCCCTTTCTATTTCTAGTTGCATTGATGTGGGTCTTTCTTTGTTTTGGTAAGTTTGGCATAGAGGTTTATCTGTGTTTTTTTGTTTTGTTTTGTTTTTTCTTGAGACGGGCTTTCACTATGCAGTTTAGGCTGGCCTTTGAACTTACTTTGTAGCCCAGACTGGCCTCAAACTCACAGCAGTCCTACCTCCGCCTCCTGAGTGCTAGGATTACAGGTGTTCTGATCAATCGTATTTATCCTTTCAAAGGACTAACTCATTCACTGATCCTTTGCATTATTTTAGTCACAATTTCATTGATTGCCTTTCATACCTTTACAATTTCTTTCCTTCTAGTTTGGGTTTGGATTGCTCTTGTTTTTCTAGGAGCTTGTGATATGCTATTAAGTTTTTTGTTTGTTATCACTGTGTTTTACTACTGTGAAAACTCACAGCTATAAATGTCCTGGTTAGAATTGATTTTTATTGTGTTCCACAGATTGTGATATGTTGTATTATCACTATCATTTGATTCTAGGAACTCTTTAATTTCATCCATGATTTTGCCTATAACCCATTAATCACTGAAAAATGATCCGTGTATTTGTGTAGTTTCTGAGGTTTCTTTTGCTGCTGATTTCTAGCTTTATTCTGATATGATCTGATAGGATACAAAATGTTATTTCAATTTTTTATGTTTGTTGAGACATGCTTCATGGCCTAAAACATATTCTGTTTTGGAGAAAGTACTGTAGCTACTGAAAAGGATATATTGTCTGCTGTTGTTGAATGAAACTATGTAGATATCAGATAAATCCATTTATTCTATGGTGTGGTCCAATGCTGATATTTCTTCCTTGATACTTTTATCTGGTTGACCTATCTGATCATAAGAAGCAAAGATGGTCACTACATATTGTTATTAAAGGGAACAGTTTACCAAGAAGTGATAACAATTATAAATACATATATACCAAATGTCAATATACCCAATTTCATAAAAGGAAAAACTACTTGACATAAAAGGATACTAATACAATTACAGTGGAGACTTTAATACCCCTCTCATATTGTAAATGCATAGTACTCAATATTTAATATTAATGCAGAGCATTCCCCTCTGATTTTAGTAGCCATGCTCCTTTGAGAACCTGGGATAAATAAACTATAAAATCAAATTACTAAATTGAGTGAGGGGCAGTTGTACACACTGGTAGTTCCAGCTATTCTGGAAACTGAGGTGGAGGGATTGCCTGAGCCCAGAAGTTCAAACCAGACAGCAATATAGTGAGACCTCTTCTCAAAAAGAAAAAAAGATTTGGGCCTGGAGAAGTAGCTCACTGTTAGAGGGTTTGCCTAAAATGTGAAAGGTCCCAAATTCCATCTCCAGCTCCCCAAATCCCCAAACCCACACCAAAAGAACAGAGAAGAAAGATATTTGCAAATTTTAGTCAAAATTAAGTCAAGTAAGGGAATGATATAGCAGCGTAAGACAAACAGTGAATGATTCTTTTTTGCAGTAAATATAGTATTGCTGGATCCTAAAACAGGTCTTGATCCCAGATCATACCTAGGAAAGGACTTGCAAATAACTCACTCTTTTCCTATTGAAGCCTTATAATTTGCCAGCCTGAGGTAACAACTATGAAAATTTTGATTTTTTTCCAGTCGAGAGAGAGAGAGACAGAGAGAGAGACAGAGACAGAGAGAGAGAGAGACAGAGACAGAGAGTGTGTTTGTGTGGTACTGAGGATAAAATGTGAAGTCTTTTGTTGTGCATAGTCTACATAGTTAACATATTCTTTTAATAATTATATCTGTCCACATCCACAGATTTAACTGGCCCAGATCAAAAATATTTTTTAAATTCGCATCTGTACTGGACGTGCAGAGTTTATTTCCTGATATTAGTCCCTAAGCAATACAGTATAATATCTATTTACATAGCACATACATTGCACATTAGATATTGTAAGTAATATAGAAATGATTTAAAGTATATCAGAGGGAAAAATACAGTATATTGGAGGATATGGCTTATGTCATATGCAAGTTTATTTATTTACCATTTATTTATCTGTCTGCCTATCTATCTTTTTTGAGACAGGGTTTCACTATGCAGTTCAGGATGCTCTTGAATTCACTTTGTAGCCCTGGCTTGCCTTGAACTTGCAGTGATTCCCCTGCTGCAACCTCATGAGTGCTGGGATTGCAGATGTGCACCAAAACACCTATGCACATGTTTTCTATGTATTAAAATTTTCAGCAATTTTATCATATAGATATATCACTTAATTATTATAATGTCAGCCATTACGTTATTTCCAGTTTTTATGTACATATTGCATATAGCAGTAGAAGATAGAGTTTCTAATTCAACAAATGTGATCATTTTCAAGGTTCTTTATATATTGCTTAATTGTGATATGTGTCCCTCATTAACTTTATATGAAGTTCCATTGACTCACAGCATCCTCATCAGCATTGAGTATTTGTATGGTTTTTACTTACTGAATTATTCTAATTTGATAAAGTAAAAAAATCTCAAGTTGTTATCTTTTTAATATTCCAAAGAATATCTTTCAAGTCATCTCAGAGAAAGATATGGATGAGAGATTCATTTTGTCTTCAATTACAGACAAATGTTAATTGTTCTCAGAACTGGATTTTTGCCTAAAAATTAAAATTATTTTTCTTTTTGATTAAATGAATTATTACTAGCTGAAGACAGTTTGATATGATGAGAGAGATGTCAGACTGGTAGAAGTTATGTTGCCATATTTAAAACCAAACCCTGAATCCTTTTAAAGAATAAAACATACTTTACACACTTAAAAAAGTCGCTTGTATACTCAGATGTCTATATTGAAAGGTAACATGCTCAAATTTCACTGGGTAAATCAATATGATAGGAATAAGGGTAAATAATACTAATAGCACAAGTTGAATATCTGAAACGCTTGGCACCAAAACTGTTTCAGATTTCAGATTTGTTTGACTTTTAATTTTTTCCATATACATAATGATATATCTTGAGGATGAGAACCAAATCGTAATATGAAATTCTCTTATGTTTTATATACATATACACATAGCCTGAAGTGATTTTATATAGCATTTTTTGGAGTACCTGCATTCTGGCTGCAACTTGTCACAAGAGGCCAGGTATGGAATTTTCCACCCGGGCCTTATATATTAGCACTCAGAACGTTTTTGTTTTTTGTTTTTTTGCATTTTAGCTTTCAGACTGTTAGTCTGTGTTATCTTAATAGTGATTTTTCCTCTGTGGTGGTTTCAGATCGAGAAACTGGATGCCCGAGGAATCCAGCTTGCTGCCCTCTTTATGAGTGGAGTTGACACAGCTCTGTTTGCTAATGATGCCTGTGGCCAGCCGGTCCCTTGGGAACACTGCTGCCCCTGGATTTACTTCGATGGAAAGTTGTTCCAGAGCAAGCTTATTAAAGCAGGCCGAGAGCGAGTATCCCTGGTTGAGCTCTGTGATGGCCAGGTACACTTTGTGCAACTACTAAGGACCACCTCTGATGTGCTAGGGCAGGAGTGAATGAGTTGGCAGAAAGGAAAAAAGAGCTAAAACACTGGGGAAGGAGAGAACATAATAAGAATATGACTTTAACCTAACTTAATCAATATGGTCTCACAAGACCATATCTGATATATATTTATTATATAAAATCATATTTTGGAAAGTTTTATATGAGCTACTAGTATTTCTTCCCCATGGAATACTTGGATACAGTACATGCCTTTTCTCCAACTCTTAGGATTTCAATTCCCTTATTTACAAAAACCGTAAGTCCTTTTTACAAGTGATGGTATTTTTTTACAAAGAAACTATGTTTAGCAAAATGCAGTGGTACCTGCTTGTAATCCCAGCTACTTGGGAAGCTGAGGCAAGAGAATTTCAACTTCAAACCCACTCTAGGCAACTTACTGAGATCCCGTTTCAAATAAAATTTTAAAAATAGCTGGTGATGTAGCTCAGTAATAAAATGCTTGGCTAGCATGTGCCAGTCACTAGATTCAGTCCCCAATACTGAAAAAAATGGCTAAAACTAAAAGAGGGTAGCAAGGCATGGGAGGATACATACCTATATGCTCAGCACTCAGGAAGCTGAGGTATGAGGATCTCCAGGAGTTCAAGGCCAGCCTAGCATACAGAGTGAGTTCAAGACCAGCCTGTATTACGTAGTGAGACCTTGTCTCACAAAAACAAAATAAACAACAACAACAAAAGGAATAGAAGACAGTAGTAAAGCAGATGACAATAGAAGCAAAGGAGCTGAGCATGTTGGTACGTGCCTATAATCCCATTACTCAAGAGGCTGAAGCAGGAGGACCACGTTGAGTTCAAGGCCAGCCTGGACTACTTAATGATATCTGTCTCAAAAATAAGTAAATAAAAAAATAAACACAGCAGAGTTTTTGCATGGAAACCTTGCAAAAGTTGAGTTAAAACAAGGAGAAAAAACCAGTCTTCCTATTTGAGGAAGAATGAGCTAAGGGACTAGAACAGAGGTCAGCAAACTACTCAGACTGCTTCTTGTTTTATGGAATACAGCCCACCCCATTTTTGTAAACAAAATGTCGTTGGAACAGGGTCACGCTTATTTATATGTATATTATCTGTGAGGTTTTCATGCTATAGTGGCAGAGTGAAGTAGTGGTGGCAGAGATAGTGTGACCCACAAAGTGTAAAATACTTTCCTACCCTTTGTAGAAGACATATCAACCTCTGAACCAAACACTATACATTTATCCTGGATAGAGCTCAGTCTCCAATCCTGGGTATGAGGAAGAAGGCTAAAAGATTTTGTTTTTGTCAAGTTTTTGCACTTTCTTTTTTTACCTAAATCTGTCACTTCTGCTTTAAAAAATACCTAAGCTTGGCCAAGCATGTAGCTCAGTAGTAGAGTGCTCATTTAATGTGCAAGGCCGCAAAAAGAAAAGTACCACAAAACAAAAACTATGTAGCTTAAAGGCACAAGGCCCTGGGTGTGATTCCCAGCACTGCAAACCTAATACTTTGCTGGCCATTTAATAGACCATCAGTGAATCCTTACTGTTGTATTTGTTTTCATTGACCTAGCTAATAAGATCCACAGCCCCTTGGTCAGAACTAATGTGACAGTAGTGCACTTTCGTAGGAAGAGTTGGTTAGAACTTTCCTGTCAAGAGAGGCTTCCTGAGCCTATAACCTGGAGTCATTTAACTCCAGTCCTCAATTTCCTTTGGGGAAATACAATTGTGAGGCTGTATCTAGGATACTCAATACTCTGCCTGAAATGTAGAAGTTCAAAAAACAACAGCTGTTGTTATTATTCTATTTTTTGCTTGAAGGCTGACCTGGCAACCAAAGTGGAAAAGATGAGGCAGAGTATCCTTGAAGGAGTCAACATGAATCATCCACCACCTTCAGCTCTACTTCCATCACCTACTTTTGTGCCTCCCATGGTTCCCTCTCTCTACCCTGTTTCACTTTATTCCCGAGCTATGGGCTCAGTGCCACCTCACCCTCAAGGAAGGAGCCGAGGATTTGCAGGTCAGTACCTAAAATTGAGATATTTCTGATCCAATTTATTTTATAATATGCCATCTAGCTGGGCATTGTGGCACATGTCTGTAATCTCGACACTCAAGAGGCTAGAGAGGAGGATCATTATGAGTTCGAGGTCAACATAGGCTATATAGTGAGTTTAAGGCCAATCTGAACTATAAAGTGAGACCCTGTCTCAATAAAATAAAAAAAAGTAACCCATCTAGTACTTGTTGGCAGGTATAGTATCAACAACTTTCATATAAAACTTACTTCACTTACATTTTGTGATGTTTTTGGTAGTTTGAAGAAAGCTTACTGAGATAGAAGGGTGTGCCCTAGGAAAGGAAGTCCATTCAATTTCTAGGCCTCACAGAATGAGAAATGATGGTGAATAGATAACAGCAGCTACAGAGGCTCTCTGAGATAGCCAGCTTAGATTCCAGAAGTGGTGTGGTGTGGGGAGTCCTTAAGCAGAGGGAGATATAACCTGCTGACCCAGGAACAAACTAAGATGAGAGATACCAATTGGAAATGCAATCCTGGTGCTACGATTAGAACAGCTAAAGTCTCAGTGCTGCCGCTGGAACTCACAGCTTGAATACCCTGCCACTGCCATGCCTGAATTGGTGCAGCTGGCATACCCCGCTAGTTTCAACTCACTGGAGACTTGAATGCTTTGAGAGCAGGAATCGGCAAACCAAATTGAGAGCAGAGCTGGCAGGGAACCTTGCATCAACCTGCGGTGAGTGAGAGGAATAAAGACCCTTCCATAGACAAGAGGCTCCAACAGAGGACAGTCTGGGACCTGGCAAACTGGCCAGAACAGGGTGCTGCAGTGACTTCAGTCACATATTCCCCTCTCAATTAGTGGGTAGCGCGTGACCTGGGTGAAACCACAGACTGAGGCCCAATAGGCTAGCCCAAACCAGGTCCCTACACCTAGCAGTGCACCCTAATGCAGTGAAGCCTTCTATAGGTTGACCTGGAGGGGCAGGCCCAGCATAGGCTGCCTGGGTCTGTACCTCCTAGTACACTGCAGTGGGCAGGACAACCTAGTCAGCAAGCATCAGAAAAACTGAAACCGACAAAGAAAGAAATGGCCTCCTATGTATGCCTGTATGGAAGAAAAAAAAATATGAGAAGAGGAGGCAACAAGAAAGGGTCCTCAGTCCCCAATCCTGAGAACACTGATCCAGGAAAGGTAAATGCAAAGTAGAATGAGAACAGAAAACATGCAATATCAGGCACGGCACCAATAGACGTAAAGCAATATCTTCGGGACCTCGTAGACAAGTTCAAAAGTAAAGTATTTAACCAAGTAAAACAAGATATAAGTAGCATAAAGTAGCAAGATATAAGTAGCAAAAAATGCCAAGCACCTCCCAAAAAAACACAGATGGTAGAATGGAAAAACAAAAAAGGGGGAAATTGTTTGATGGAGAAAATAGAGAAAACATACAAAACATGAGGCAGGTTCAAAGAGATTACCAGGAAACTAAAAGCTCTATTGAAAGCTGGCATAACAGCTTGAAACAAACTAAGGATAGATTATCTGAACTGGAGTACAGTTTTGTAATGTGGGAACATGAAAGGAAAAACTTCTTAAAAATAACAAGGAAACAAGCAGTAACAATACAAAGTCTAGAAGATGACAAGAGGATCTATAAGTTGAGAATTAAAGAATGTGAGTGAAGAAGCAGGGTTACAAACAAAGGAAATACAAAGGCTACTCACAGAAATGATTAAGGAAAACTTCCCAAACATAGGAAAAGGGAAAGATGCTCAGATGTATAAGGCATACAGAACTCCAGCCACCTACAATCAAAACAGAACTATACCTAGGCATATAATAATCAAGATTCCAGAAATCCAATATAAGAACAGAATATTAGAAGCCGTCAGAGACAAGAAACAGATCACTTACAAGGGAACACCCATCAGAAATACAGCAGACTTCTCGGCACAAACCATCAAATCTAGAAGAGCATGGGACAAAATCACCCAAGCCTTGAAGGACAATAACCTCCAGCCAAGATTGATATAATATGCACAACTGTCCCTAGAAATTAATGGAGAAACAAAGTGTTTCCAAGATAAAGAGGAACTGAGGGAATTCACAACCACCAATCCAACTCTACAGAGAATATGGCAGGACATTCTAAAGAGAGAGAAAAGTACTAGGATTCCAGAAACAGTGGCAGAGAGGCCACAATGCATGGAGCTGAAAGCAAAATGAAGAAGACAAACAGACAACTAATGACAGAAAAAGTGCACAACAGAAACGAGGCAAAGAATGTTGGATATAATTTCTAATATAGATGGCCTACATACACTAACTTAAGGAAAAAAGAGAGAATGGCAGGCAGAGTGGATTAAGAGGTAGGATCTACCAAGAGGCTCTTTATAGGAAATATAATTAGCCTGAAGAAGGTTATATGGACCAAAATCAAATATGGGAAAATGGAACTCATTGTGATAGGGAACCAGAGAGTAATAGGGGTAACTGGGCCGGTATTTATGGATAGGTTGAACAGACAGGTTTTAATAAATGAAGAAATATAACTAGAAATCCAGCCCAGGAGTGAGAAAGTTCAGAAACACTTAGGTAAATAATAGGTTGCCCCCTCATATAAAACCATGAGTGTTGGGGAGACCTATAAATACACAGTTCATTCTGGGGGAGTAAAGGAAAAGCATAGTTTTCCAAAAAAACAGCAGAAGATATAGCTAGTAGTGTATCAGGAATTAAAACCCTTATTACTCGCACCACTCTGCTTGGTTAGAACTTGTTCCATCCTAGTTTTGTATATAAGCACTGGATCTGAGGGCACAGACAGCTGTCCCAAAGACTCGGGACATGGCACAGTGGTCATCTTTAATTTCCTATTAACTCAATCAGGATCCCTGTATGACTTATACTGTTGTATCTTGACTGATCTTAGTTAAATCTGACTTGTTTGAATACTGCTTATTATTGACAGATTTTATTCAAAACTGTTAGGTTGCTGGTATCAAGTTGAGAAGTATAGACAACTATACTGAAAATGACAATGATTCAACACGATATCCATTCTGATTTGATTACTACCTGTTTTTGTGGCTACAATGTTTTATTTCTGTTAATTGTTATATACTGATATGCTCAATTATACTTTATCTGATGATATAGCCAATTCTGTTGATAATAACAAGAAACAGCACAGTGACTATGCTAGAACTCCTTATACAGCAGTTTTATATGTCTTTTTAGTTTAATGTGTCTATAGCAATATGTTTAGTTCTGTCATGCTTTGTTCCGTTTCTCCCTCTAATACAGAAAGGATAGAAATACATGTTAAGACTCATGCTTGCGTAAAACCTATAAACAATTTATGAGAACTGATCTTATGACACATGATGAAATGAACAAATACTTTGAAGGAAAGAAAGAGGCACTGCAGTGCTCAGTGCTGATTCTGGAGTGTTATGATGTGAAATCCAGCAATATTATTAATCTTTGTTCAGAAGGAATTTAATCTAATAAATTGTGTTAGTCTCAACATAAATGAAGATATGGATAAATGCGTACATGTCTAAGTGTATAGGATTAATAGCCATATTACTTAGTTTTTGTTGGATAGTTGAAAAGAACGGTTTGGTTGAATTCCACTTATATGTTCCACTGTTGTATCTTGAACAACTGTTTTTGGGGGTACAATATGTATAGATCAACTAGTGATTTATTACTGTTTATTTCTTTTCTTTGAAAGTGAGTTCTATTTCTGCCCATTTTCTATTTTGTTTTATCTTTCTTTAAATAATAAAAAAATTTCTAGGCCTCTTCCCATTAACAGTGGTTGAGTGCCAGGGAACCAACCAAAACTCATGCAGTAACTGAGTCACTTTATTATGTTGAGAACTACAACTCATATGAAATGCATCTTTTACACTTTTTTTTTTTTTCTTTTTCTTTCTTTTTACTGGTACCGGGGATCGAACTCACGACTGCCTGCTTGCAAGGCAGGCGCTTATGCCGCTGAGCTAAACCTCCAGCCCCATGAAATGCATCTTAATGTTGGTTGTTCGTTCATTCTTTCCTTATAGGCAAATATACCTAGGAGCTTGCACAAAGTAGCCAGTGTTATAAGATGAAGATAGCTTGATGTAACCATTCACACTCTGGAGTTAGACCTGATATATTTTTCTTCCTTCCACTCTAGAAGCATGGAGATAAATGTCACTGTCCATACCCACAAAATATTGCAGCTTAGTGGAGAAAGCACACACACAAATATATTCACAAACATGTATGTACACACATATCTATGTGCAGATTATGGTGATAACCTCATCTGCTTAATAATAAATGCCCAAGCATGCTTAGGTAGCTCACATACTGATACTGATACATCACACAATCTGTCCCTATGTGAAACATTATATTTTTTGGGGAAATTTTAACATAAAATAGCAGGACTCTGTGATTTAGTGACAGGGTCATTTGTGTGGTTGAATATTGTATGTCATCTGTGTGTCTGTCTTAAAAATAACAAAGTTGTAAGTTGAAGTTAGTTTTTTTAGAGTCCAAAATTCAGGATGGATATTTAGCTCAAGGATAGACTTAGACTAACAGTATGAAAGTTTGCTTTTAGTAGCTTACTGTTCAGCCATATAATGATTAAGTCTTACAAACCAGAGAACCAGCTATTCTATTCCTTTAATGTGACTGTACAGGTTTCTTCTCTGATCTTATGTGTTGAGTTTATTATATAAGTCTCAGAAGACACTTTAATTAAAACTGTCTTCTCCAAAGGCCCTTACCATTGCCTCAGCTACCAGTAATTCTTAGTCTCCAGTTACTGGTAGTTCATGGGAGCCTCCTGCCTCTTGAAAGACCACCTTAGGATCCCCTGAATGCAAGATTTTCTTGTCCTTCTTAAGAGTAGTTTCTAGCTCCTTAGACGTTCCCTTTTATATAAACAAATTTCTTTTCACTAATAACCTGCTGAGTTAAGGGTTATTAAGCATTAGTTTCTTCCCATGCACTAAAAGTCCTATCAGAACTCCATATTCTTTGAAGGCTTCCTTTTATACCAGTTTACAGAACTTGGCTGTGCTTTTGCACTCGTACATGCAAATTAGAATTTCTTTTTTTCTAAGGATATATTGTGTCATATTGTCTTAAATTGCTTCTGGTTTTCAAGTGTTACCAGTCTTGCTTTTTAGTTATAAGCTACTATTTAGTTTCATTTTTTTCTGTTTGGTTGTCTACCTGTTTGGTAATCCTATACTGTGTTGTGGTGTATATTCCTTTTGAAACTAGACAGCCTATAATTTTCCAGTAACTCAGTTTTAAGATACTCTCAACAAATATTGAATTCCTAATATGTGCAGGCCCTGTAGTTGAAAACTGAATCACTCATATATAGCTCAGCAGCACATTGCCTTCCTGGCAAGCACAAGGTCCTGAGTTTGATTCCAAGTACCAGGAAAAAAATTAAGGAGTGTGTACCATCTTTGTTATACCTCTTATCCATTATGATTCATTACTACTATTCTTACTCTCTTGCCAGGTTTCCATCCAATCCCATCCCAAGGAGGAAAACTGGAAATTGCTGGGATGGTGGTGGGCCAGTGGGCTGGCAGTGGATCCTCCAGAGGCCAAGGATCCTTTGGCATGCAAGTGGTTTCTGTCGGTGGGCCAGGAAAGGGGTATGTTTTTCATTGGGTTGGAACAAAATAGTGTCAAAGTGTCCTTGGGAAAATGCCCAGCTACTTAAATTCTTCAATGAAGGTAAGAGGAATTAACCAACTTTTCATATTTAAAGCCAGTTTTCAGTTTAGTTTAGCTAACAAAATAAATGTTATGCCTTGATGGAAAAGTTTTATACTAGAGAAGATCATGAAATACAGAACAACTCAGTATAACATAGCAATGACAGAAGCTAGAATAGTAACACTGAGCAAGGGGCATTTAACTTAACAAGCTTCCTAGAAGGATGACTAGTTAACAAAGTAAAAGGAAAGGAATAGATACTGTCTCTCATAATCACTTTTTCTCCTACTTGCTAAAGGCATGAAAAAGAACAGACTGGTAGAGGACCTAGAGGACACAAAAAAGGGAATAAACAAGTAAGTATCTTTGTTTTTGAGATTACCCAACTTTTGTTTGATACCTTTTCTTTTTCAGCTAACTTGCAAGACAACACATCAGGAATGGAAACCTGCACTAACTTAGGAGGGTTTTCAGAACTTCTCTAGGCATTTGATTCCATTCTCCTCATCTTGAATAGTCAAGTGAGAACTACACTACTCAGAACTGTTCTCACAAGGCTGCGAAGTCTCAGTCCTTATCCCTGAGTCCTTAGCCCAAGATAGGCATTGAATATAGTGTTCTGAGTATTTGTGCCTAACATAGTATTTCCTGCATGCAGTCAGAAAAGGATCAGAGTGAATCTAACAGTGAGATTACCTCCACCCTTCCTAACATGCTGAGGGGCTGCCACAAATGTTTAGAAAATCAAATTTTTTACTTTGCTACATCTGGAAGAGTGGGGAAGCATTGCTCTGCTGTTTATTCTTAATGATTTAGAAAAGTATTATATTTTTTCCTCCTCTATGCTTTGAATTTTGTTGAGTACACACTAGATAAGCCCCCCACACCAAGTAGTAAGACTATGAGGAACTATTCTTGTGTTAATCCAAAATCTTAGACTGGTGATGTGGATGTAGGTCAGTGATAGAGGGCTTGTCTAGTATATTTAAGTTCCTGGGATTAATCTCTAGCACTGCCTCCCCCAAACACTTGTAGTATACCCAAACTGCTGTACTTTTTCTAGTATTACCAGCTACTATTTCTCCTCTCCTCTCTCTCTCTCACTCTCTCTCTCACTCTCTGTTTCTTTCTTTCTCTCTCTGTTTCTCTCTCCCTCTCCCCCTTTCTCTCTTTCTCTTTTTCTCTTTTTCTCTCTTTCACAGGGCTTTGATGTTGAAAATATCCTCAATCTTTTTTGTGGTGTGCTCAAACTTACAATCCTCTTATCTCAGGCTTCCACATTGCTAGGATTATAGGCATGCACTACCATGCACCAATTTTTAATTTTTTTCTTTCAAATCAGAGTCTCACTATGTAGCCCAGGCTGGCCTTTACCTCATGTTAATCTTGCCTCAGTCTTCCAAGTCTAGGATCATGGCCATATACCACCATGTCCAGTTTCCAAGCAACCGTTTCTTGAGTGTCTTCTTTCTACCAAACCCCCACTACTAGGCATTTAATATATACTGTTTAGTAATAGGCAATTTTGTCAAAAGTTTTCAATTGTAATCCAATCTCCTGTAACCAACTAGCCCCCACACAATTCATGCTTTAGCTTTCACCATGTAATGCTTTCGCAAAGAATATGAATTTATTTTAATGTTATTTTGAGCCCAGAATATAAATAGAGCTGGGTATGGTGGCATACCCCTGTAATCCTAGCACTCAGGAGGCTGAGGCAGGAATATCATTGCAAGTTCAAGGCCAGTCTTGGCTACAAAGTGAGTTCAAGACCAACATGAACTGCATAGTGAGACCCTGTCTCAAAAAAGACAAAAAAAAGTATAAATAAAAAAGTAAGTCCTCTGCACAAAGCAATTTATAACATACTCCAAAGCTAGAGAGTAGTAACTTTGTGAGTTTTCTAAAGCTTCTCAGCTTCTAAAAGCTGCTCATTAAAGCAACAAGAATTGCATTTAGATGGAAAACTAGTGATCCAGGTAGTTTCCCATAAGTTGGTACACTCATGGCAAATGCACCATGAATCAGGATCTGATTGTCAGGCATACAGCCTGAAAAAAACTTGTATTTTTAGTAGTACAAAAAGAATAGATCCATCATTACCTGGTTGACTCATACTAACAAAGACTACAGAAATAGTAATTTGGTTATGGTTGGGGAATAGTTTGCTCTTTATTTATACTTTAGGTTTCTCATTTAAGGGAAACCTGTGACATTTAACATTCTGTGTCTGTTTTATTTTACTTAGCATTATCATGTATCTTTAACTCTTTTGGGAAGCTAACCCAGAGGAGGTATAGCTGGGTTGAATGTAATTTCTGTTTTCTTAGTTTTTTGAGGAATCTCCATACTGATTTTCATAATGGTTACACTAGTGTACATCCCCACCAAAAATAAAGAAGAGTTCCTTTGAAACCACAACCTTACCAGCATTAGTTATTTTTGAGTCCTTAATGATTGCCATTCTTAAAAACTGAAAAAGTAAGTGAGGATTAAAATATACAGTAGACATTGTGAAATGGGAAGAAATTGTTCAAAAGGAAAGAGGAACCAATGTGGGGGAAAGGAGAAATGAAGGAAGGGAAAAGGAAATAAAACACAAGAAAGTTATACTACTAGTTTCTCTTAGTTCATTGAAAAGAAAGGTTTGAGCTAATATCATTAGCGAATTTTTTATGCCCATCTTTATTTAAAGAAAAAAGAAAAACAAGACAAAACAGAAAAAAGATAAAATTTATAATGGGATTCCTACATATGCCAAGCATAGACTTAATGTGGGAAAACTATTATGTATCTTTCAGATTATAGTTGTGTTTTTAACTATTAAATCTGTCCTTTCATTTCTGGAAATAAAAGGTGCTTTTTTTTTTGGTACTGGGGATTAAACTCACGACCCTGCACTTGCCAGGCAGGCACTTATGCTCCTGTGCTAAATTCCCCCCAGCCCTAAAAGGTGCTATTAAGTAAAAAAAAAGATTGCCATTCTTTGTGGACTAATATAGAATCAGTGTTTTTTGTATTTTGGGTTTGCTTTTGTTTTTGTTTTTGTTTTCTTGGTCCTGGAAATCAAACCCAGGGCTTTGCACATGCAAGGCAAGAAAGCTACCCCTGAGCCATATCCCCAGCCCTCAGTGTTGTTTTGATTTGCATTTTTGTGATGAACACAGTTGCTGAACAGTTTTTCATGTACTTACTGGGCATTCACACTTCTTAAAAGAAGTATTTATTCGATTTGATATAATCTGGTTGTTAATTCTTAGAGTTATAGTACTTCTTGTGTTGTTAGAACTCTATTAACAAAGTCTTTGTCTATATGCGTAAGTCTTTAAGGGTTTTAGATCCAGAGTTTCTGGGGGTTTTTGTAAGACAGGGTCATACTATATATTCAGGCTTACCTTGAACTCTTTATGGACTCAGGCTAGCCTCAAAGTCACAGCAATCATCCTGCTTCAGCCTCCCATGTGCTGCAATTACAGGCATACAGCACTATGCCCAGCCCTAGTGTTTCTGTTTTAATATCTAAATCTTTTATCCATTTTGATTTTACTTTAATACAAGGTAAGAGATATGAGTCTAGATTCAATCTTCTGCATGTGGATAACCAGTTTTCCTAAAACCATATGTTTAAGAGGCTATCTTTTCTCTGGCATATGCTTCTGACCCCTTTGTCAAAGATGAGATAGCTGAATATGCTAGAAGGTTTTTTTTTTGTATCCTCAGTTTTATTTTTGGCAGTGCCATGCTATTTACCAGTAGCTTTGTAATATAATTTGAAAGCCTGAATTATGATACTTCCTGCTTTGCTCTTGTTGTCCAGGATCACTTTTGCAAATAATCCTGGACAACAAGTAATTTGCAAGTAATTTTTCTTAGTCTCTTCTGGTTCCATAAAAATTTCTTTTTGAGACAGGGTCTCATATGTAGTTCTGGGTGACCTTGAACTCACTATGTAACCCAGGCTGGCCTTGAACTCACAGTGATCCTCCTGACTTAGTCTCCGTAGTAATGGGATTACAGGCATGCACCACAATGCCCAGCCATGGTTCCATATAAATTTTAGGATTTTTTTTCTAGTTCTGTGAAGATATCTTTATGTATATTGAAATTAAACAAAAGAAAACAAACTAATATCACTCTGGACAGAGAATAATAGTATTGATAGATTTTATATCATGATGTTATGGAATTATCACTGGGCATTATTGGTATTTTGATTGGTGGTGTATTAAATCTATAAATAATAAGTTCCCCGGCTTGTGAATGAGTTCTGTACCAGGATAATGTTTATAAGTCAGATTTGTTTGTAAGTCTGACAAAGTGAGTCTTACACAACTTTGACACAGATACATAATGTGTATTGCTTTGTGCTTCCTGGCTATCCCCTCCACATCACCACTGCTTTTCCTCTTTCTTCTGGACATCCTCAGCTCTGATTGAGCACTGTGCTACTGTTCATTACAGTAGACATACAGCAACAAAACTGTGACAATGCTTGGCAAACACATGAGCTACTTTAGCAATTTGTTTGCATCTACATATGATTTTAATGCGAAGTCTTTTGGTTATCTGTGAAAGTTTACAACTGGAATGTTTGTAAGTTCGGTATTTACTGTTTTATTTTTGGTAATATGGGCATTTTGACAGTATTTGTTCTACCTGTGCAGGAATGGGATTTTTTTCCACCTCCTGATGTCTTCTTTTTTTATTTTAAAGAGAGTAAAATTAAACATAACAAAACAGATCATAAGAAAACAATTTAAGAAACACAGATTTCAAAGCAAGACCACTGGAGATCTTCACTATCTGTCATATTGTATCTTGTTTTCTTCCACATAGTTGTTCACATCTTCACACACAGTGAATATATACTGAATATTATAGAACTAATCTGATCAGAACAGGATGATGATGGCATTTTAGGTCTTCAAGACCAGAAAATAGGGAATGCAACAATGGCTGCCAAAATGTCTCTCATTCTCTTCAAAATAGCTATCCATATCTTTATGTATATTGAAATTAAACAAAAGAAAGCAAACTAATATCACTCTGGACAAAGAATAATAGCATTGATAGATTTTATATCATGATGTTATGGAATTATCACTGGGTATCTTAGTGTTTCTTTTTCTTCAGAGTATCTGTTCATAACATGGTGCATTATATAATCTATTCTTGTGAACTCTTTAGAAGTTCTACACTTCTGTGTGCATCTCTACCTGTATACCTATCCTTTCTGCATTAGAGGGAAAAATAAATCAAAATAAAACAACAAAACAAATTCCTAGAAAAACACAAAACCAAAAAGACATATAAAACCACAATACTATGTGATCCACAGTAGTTACTATGATGCCTC